AGATCTCGCCAAAATTAAATGCATTAAATATATTAAAAGCGTTTACAACCTAAATCGATTGGATCTAGGGCATAACACTTACAGTTTACAGCAGATATTATCATGTTTTCAGTGAAGGTGAACTTGAAAGGTAAAGAATTGTTTTCTATTCATAGTTTAATTTGTTTAAATAATGCTACTCTATTATCTATTCAATTTTTCATAAATGCTTGCTATGGTTTTTATTCCTGATCAGCTTGCATATTGTCAAATACAATAGAGTAGTGGCTCTCAGCTTGCATTATGATGCAGTTTGCTTATTATCGTTGGATTTCCGCTTTAATTTGGTTCTTTGCTAATAATTCATGATCTTTGAGAATTAATAACAGGAACCATTATAGTTATCATTTTTTTTATTTTTTTGGATGAATCTAACATTCAATGTTATGCAAAGCGATCTCATTTACACTGTTTTGTCTTTTGAATTAATGTTCTACTCTGTATTTCAATCTGCAGGTTAGTGTCTAGCGTGAATGGCGCTGTAATTGTTGACAGATTTTATGACAAATCAAATTGGTGCGTTATTCTTGAGAAAACTTCGTCATGATGTGATGGTCAATATAGCAATTCATGGAACTCTGATCTTGCAACCTAAGAGCTGCACAAATCAGGATATATACATTTCAAAGTAAGCAAGATTTGGGAGTGCTTTGTTTGATTACCTTCCCAAAAAAAAAAAGGGAGTTGAGAGTGCTTTGCGGAACAAGGAACCAAAAATTTGGTAAAGTTCTAGTTAAACTTTTTAGGGAGTCTCCTCTTTCCATGCTCGAAGTGGAGAAGAGTCCACGTACAAGTTTTCTCCTTGATTTTGCATCTCGAGGATTGCTTGAATAGGTACATTTGGCCATCTTTTCCTAACCCAGTTATTTTTTATTTTTCGGAATTATTGTGCTTCAGTCTTGTTTTCACTGTATAAGTAGTTCCTTTTGTAAGAAGCATCAGTACATGATTATCTCATGAAAAATACTGCTTCTTGTTATTTCAATTGCTAACGGAACCAAAGGACCGCTTCTTCTTGTTTCAATTGCATTGAATTTGCTTGTATTCTGAAATGATTTATAAGTTGGACGGTATAATATTTAAAAATTTATTAATGAGACACAAGTTGTAGTTGCGATATGCTTAAGCACAAAAGATACAGTAATGGCTGCCAAATTGGATGGTTTGGGTTTCTGAAGGATTTTATTTTGTTCTAAGTTGAAGACACAAGCCCTTTCATAGATAAAGGTTCTTTTTGACTACTTATACAGGGGAGTGATTTGGATCTCAATTCTTGGATCATACATCTACAAGAAATCGACTGGTCGGTATAGTTTGACCGTATTTTATGTCTCAATCTGAGTTAAAACTAACCTTGATTCTAGTTCCTCTCCTCCTACAAACCAACATGGATTTCATAATAAGTTGTGCAGAGTGTTGTTGCTCGACTCTTGAGACATAGAGACAGTAATCATAGTACCAGAAACCCTTTTCATTAAACACGAGTTAATTTCACAAACGGTCACTGAACTTACTTTACAAAACGATCGCTGAAGTTACAAATTTGCATAAACGGTCACTTAACTTACGAG